AGAGGGTGCAGGCTGGGCTGAGGGACACACAGCCCTGTGCACGAATTCCATATACATACACACACACACACACACACACACATATATATATATATATATATATATATATATATATATGTGTGTGTGTGTGTGTGTGTGTGTGTGTGTGTATATGTATATATTTGTGTGTGTGTATGTATATTTATATATAGCCCAGTGCATGAATTTGTGTATGGGTGGGGCCCAGCCAGCCTGGCCAGGGGGAGGGGACATGGGCTGTTGGCCGGCCTGCCTGATGGTCGAACTCCTGGTTGAGGGGACAATTTACATATTAGTCTTTTATTATATAGTATACACACTGAGTGGTCAGATTATTATGCATTCAGAGATCATAATAATCTGGCCACTCAGTGTAGATATACCCTTGTATATATTAATATAAAAGAGCATCTTCACAGGGAAGAGGTAGAAAGCCATTGCTGCAAAATAAATTTCTGGGTTTATTCTAGTGTCAAGTGTGTTAATATATAATAATATTACCTTGTTCTTAAAAATAAAACTTTACTGAAGAATGATATAATTTTAATATTTTAAGGACGGCCTAAGGTATATTTGATTAATCAATTACCACAGTGTCTACTATATAAGGAAAATCGGAGGGCATTACTCAGAGCACCTAAATCCACAACCCACCTGGATTTTATATATAAAATATATAAAAACATATTTTAAGATTTAATATTATTAAACTTTTAAAATGTTAAAAATCTAAATTAAAAATTGAACTGGACATTATTTTCTTAGGAAGAAAAGTCTCTCACCCACCACACGCCCACACACATGATAGGCCTTGTAAATGAGCCCCTACAATTTGAGAAAGTCTCCTCTAAAATTGGTGACTAACAAATAAGATGGCTTACTGATACTTTCTTTTTCGCTTATGTCCTTTGAAGAAAGCCCAACTGCCTGCTTCTCATGAAAGTCGTGCAGACACAAGCTGTATCCGCTTCCTCTATTTTCCTTGTAAAGAAGCATATTCAATGAAGTGATAGTGACTGGTTTAAAGTCAAATAGGTTTGGACACCCATCTTTGCGGTTTAAAGGGAATGAAAGTATACCCCAATGATTTAAAGTGTAATAATTCCATAGCAATAATATTTTAGGACACAACTTAAAACTTGGAACTATGGTAGAGTAATACAAAACAAAAAACACGCGAGCACCATAGACATACAAGAAAAATAAGTCAAGATGGGTTGGCCTGGGTGTCCAACTCAATCACAACACAATCTAAGCGCCTCCCAGGGAGCATGCAACCACCCTGTGTTTCATCTGACAGGTGAAAAGCAAGATATAAAGGTAAGCACTAGCCACAAAACAATGGGAAAAGGTCATTGAGGCACCTCAGTGAAGCATTACTAGCTTTGGGACCTGAATTTCAAGAGGGACAAGTTTAAGACTAAGCTGTAGTCTGAGCCCTTTACAATTTTTATTTGTAGATATTTGAGACGCTTAGAGCCAAGTGGACCTTAAAGATCACCTTTTAATTTGGAAAAATGCAGTGAATGGTCATGAACAAGGTCATAAAGAAAACCCATGTTTTTCTACCACACGTCTTGCTAAAGTGAGAAAAAGCCCAATTCCAGGTACTAAGTCATTTCCCCAAAGGAAAAGCAACAAAATGCACAGATTACAGGTATTAACTATTTCCTGTGTATGAATATTAATCTCATGAATTAGTCAAAAGCAGCTTGGAATTTGGTTTCCATCAGTAGCCTTTATAAAAATTACATTATCGAATTAGCACTCCCTTTCCACTATTATTGGACACGAGCATAAAATTAAGTATACAGAGCTTGGGCAGAGGCAGTTTTGTGAATATCAATCACTGGAACTATTCAAAGTAATAACCTGAAAAGGACTTGACGTCCTCTAGTGGTGAAATGGAAACTAATTTCCAAGACAAGTATTTTTTTCAGTTCTCATTTATTACCTTTGGCTATAGAAAAATATATGTGAAAGAACTGTTCATACTCGAAAAAGAAACAATTCAACACAAGGCATGTTATTTGACTACCTTTGAGGAGAAGATAAACGTATGCTGAAGGATATATGGTATTTAAAATGTTAGATTTATATAATATCTTTGAATATTCTTAACAAATGTCTTGTTTTATAGGCAGTATACGACTAATGTTCAACTCATCTTTGATATACACATATACATATGTATGCAATTATGAACACATTGTGGGTGTTATTTTAATAATTATCTGGGATTCTAATATAAATTGCTCTGAAGTTAAACCACAGTCTTTGTACAGGGACACTAAAACTAAGACATTTAGGAATGGACTCTACTTGATAATCACTACATCTAAAAAAGGAATAAAATAGATCTTTCAACAAATATTGCATTCCTGGAAAAAAACCACCTTTATACACAAACCTGTGATTGTTTAAAAAAAGAAAGAAAAAAGACTTGCAGCATTTGGATGTGTATGTGAAACATGTCCCTAAGAATAAGTCCTATGTGTACAGGTCACATGTTTTAAATATATAGAAAACTTACGTTGTTAAAATTCAGGCAATCTGCACTTATTCCATCAAAATATTGCTATCTGGGTTTTAAAAAATAAATTTTCTCTTTTCCTCTTTCTTTGGCCCCTGCTCACACAAGTGCTTCTGAACATTAATAGTAATCAAGTGCTAGGAAAAAAAAAAACAACAAAACACACAACAGAAAAATGTGGGCCAGAAATAGGTTTTAGTTAAATTATAAAGTACAATTATTCCAAAGGCCATGTAAAAATTGTCTCTTGGAACTTGAAGTGTCTAGGCAAAGATATGAAACAACTGTTTTCTGTGAAGAAGATGGCAGCTAATTAAATTCCCATTTTCATAAAAAAAAAAAAATATTTCACCGACAGCCACATGGCTGAATTGTATGTTAATTGTTAGAAACCTTGGTTCATTAGTTAACCTGCCCAGGCATTCAATAGGCTACTTTGCAGTTCACTTATATATGAACAAGTTGCTCATGGACAAATTCTAAAACGTATTTTGTTGTTTGTTTAGCAAAATTGGCGTGTATTGACTAACCTGAACAATTTTGTTTCAGAAGCACCATGCACATTCACAGTGCGGACAGACGCTGCCCTGGGGTTGCCCTCACCTGGGTGAGTCTCACCCAGGGCACCCAGTTCATCAAGTTCTGTAAAGCAATTACTAAAGCATCTCCACTGAGCCACCCTTTCCCCACCCGAACCAAAACAATGATCTATTAATACAAATCTTTCAAACCACTCTCCTGGAAAGAGCGTGACTTCAAAGTAAACAAGCTCAAGACACCTTGTCTGACTAAACCGCGGGTATTTAGGCAGGAGGGATTAAGGCATTAGGCTTTCCGTGTCCCTATCAGAGCAGATACATATGTTGCAAACACTATGATAGCTTTTCTGGGCCTTTCACAGGAAAAGAAGCATGGCATCTAAATCAATAACACATTTTGGTGGGGTGTGTGGGGAGGGTGAGTCTTACATTTAGGAAGCACTTGTTTCCGATTATGCATGTATGCAAAGCAGCAAACGCATTGCAATCTGAATTTCTTTTAAAAAATAAGAATCTGCATCACCGCCCCCATTTCCAGGGTGGGAAGGTACCAGAGTTGACCGGCCAAGAATAAATAGAATAAAAAAAAGAAGAGGAGACTAAGAAAGAGGGGGCGCATGTGCAAGGCAGTGCCTCCAAAACAACCGATCAGGAGCGCAAAAATCGCCCACATAGAAGATGTGAGCGCGGGTCCGCGAGTGTGCTGTGAAGGTTGGGGTGGGGGGGAAGGTGCGTAAGGATTGGGGGTGGTCCCCAACACCGAGCCCTCTGCGCCGATCCCCCCTTCTCACCCAGTGCTGGTGTATGGACTTGGAACAGGAGCTCAAAGGACCCTTTCAAGTCCAGACTGAGCACATCGAACTCCATTCTCTGGTCCCCGCCGCCCAGCCACCAGCCACCAGCCCCCCCGCGACCCCAGTCTTCGTGGGACGCGGGTGGGAACTGCGGACAGACACCGGGGCGGGGATCGGGCACAGCGCGCCGCATGCCCCCGCGCCCTTCCACCAGCATTGTCCCCGGGGAGCCGAGTGTGAGCCGGGCTCGGGGGGAGCGCGGCAGGGAGGGGGTGCCCGGGGACGGAGGAGCCTGCCCGTCGCAGCGGGCCCGAGGACTTTCCGGCTGGCTGTTTGGTTCGGGGTGTACGATTTCCCCCATTCAACTCGGCAGGTGGGAGGGGAGCAGCCACCGTTTCTCCATTTCCTCCTCCCGCCCGCCCGCGCTCCCTGGCGCGCTTCCACCTGTTGTGGGAAAGTCGCGGGGAAGCGCCCCGGGGCCCCCGGGGCCCCCGGGACCAGGCCCGCGGCTCCGGGCACGGCGCTCGGGCACCTCCGGGCGGCGGCGGAGGGCAGAGGGCCCATGCGGAGGCTCCGATCCCGATCCCGGGACGCAGAGATCGATCGGGGCGGCCGTTCCCCGCCACGGCCCCGCGCAGGGGGAAGAGGCGATCGCCCGCGCCCCGCGCCCCGCACGTTCCCACCGGCCGGTGCGCTGGCCCCCGCCGCGCCCGCCGGCCCCCGCCCGCCCTCCCGCCCCGGCCGCGCAGTCACCTGTTTCGCCCCGCGAAGCGCCATCGCCGCCCCGGGGGCCGTCGCCGCCAGCTCCCAGCTCCGCCATGGTGCTCGGATGACGCGTCCGAGAGCCGCTCCGCCCTCTTCCTCGGCTCCGCTCCCGCCGGCCCCCGCCTCCGGGCCCGCAGTCCAGACAGGTGAGCGCGCGGCGGCGGAGGGAGGTGCGAGCGCAGGCGAGCAGGGGAGGCCTGGGGCCCGACGCGCCCCCTCGCGGGCAGGTATGGCGTGGCAGCTGCTCACAGGGAGGCCACAGGGTCTGGGCTGCAAGAACAGCTTCACCTGTCCCCGAGCTCCTGGCCCTCGCAGCCCACCCCTGGAGTGGGGTCGGCGACTTTTAGTGGCTCTAGGACCTGAAACGCTAGGACCTGGGACTGAAGAAAAGTAGATCAGCCCAGGTGAGACGAGGACTTCGGGACGCCCCGTTCCACTATGAACTTTGAAGCAGCCAGGTCCGTTTTGAAGTTCATGGTGACAGGGCAGAAAGAGGACGATGCCACGTGGAGAGCCGAAGTACACAGGCGGGATTCCTTCGCTGGGATCCGGTCTGGATCTGCTTTTCAGGGCGCCATGGCTGCTGACCAATCTTTTCACCAGGCCTGTGTGTCTGGAGAGAGCCCCAGGTCATGCAAGTTACTGAAGCTTGTGTCCAGTGATGTGACTTTTCTTATTCTTGGTTTCCCATTAGTAGTTACCTCGTGACTTCCGTCCAGCTTGCTCAGGAAGGCCAGGAAAAAGGCAACGTGCAACAGTTTCTTTCTTTCTTTTTAAAGAAACAGATTATTAGCTTGAGGAGATACCAATTTCTGCTCCAACAGAAGACAAGTCCAGCATAGCAACAAAATGCTGAAGGGGAAAATAGATCCTGCAAAAATGGAAACATAAGGAACAAAACTGAGCAGCGACCCGTTCCGGCTAGCTACACAGAAATGCACTCCCACAGCCTGGGTTGGTTGAACATAGCCAGCAAGCTCCCAGCAGCTTAACACCCTCTCAAAGACTTCTGCAGAATCTACTGGACGCCCAAGGGTGCCTGAGAAGTGTTGGATTTCTTGCTAAAGTGACAATCCCCACCGTCTTTTTAATGAAAAACCTGCCACTCTGAGCCCGGGATTGGACTGCTTGTATTTGGTTTACTGGCTCACTGGCTAAGTAGAGGATTTGATTAAGAGACACTTCACCGCGGTGTACTCGCGGTGTACTTAGGGATTTCCCCATAGTGCCATTTCTACAGTGGATCAGGCAAACTGATCACATTCAAATCACTCTTGTCAGACTTCTAATAAAAATAAAGCACCAGGTTTGGGGGAGGGGAAGTTAAGGTAGTTTTAAACCTCAGCTTGGGCCCAAGCAAAGGTTATTTTTTACTAAATTAAGTCATCGGAGTGTAAAATGCTGAGAACATCAGAAAGAGCCTCTTAGCTGAATTTAGAGAGTTGAACTCTGGAAGAACTTTGGGGAAGGGAGGTGATTGATTTTCAACCTTCTGATTTACTACCTACTTAAGTAAACTACGAGTACTCTCTCTGACCCCCACCGCAAATTAAGATTTAGTGTTTATTTTTCTGCGTTCGTGTTTTGGTTTTGGGTGTGTGCATCTCCCTCCTCCCATTCTTTTGCTAATTTGTTCTTAATCTGTCACCAGTTACACAGAAACACACCAAAATCCTACCCTTAGGCTCTGTAACGAGGACTGGTACAAGAAAATGGAGGAATGGGTGACATATGTTAAATGTCATACACCATCGCATTGTACTGTGTGTTGTACTTTACTTAGAACACGGAAGCCATCTGTCTTGAGCTCCCACCTCCATCTCAAAATCTCTCCCATTCATCGCAGTTCTCCTTTCCAGGGGGAGAAGCTGGAACTCCTAAAGCCATCTGCTCCCCTCCTGCCTCCTTTGAAACCTCATCCTTTTCTTCTCCCTCTCCATCCAGGGATTCTACCTCAACAAACACATTAGGACTCTATTGATTCTGAAAAATTTCTTCCCTGGACTTCCAACTCTCCCAAATCTATTGTCTTAATTTTGTTCACCAAAGCTAATAAGTATGTGGACTCTGGTGCCATTATTGTCTTATTATCTTTGTTTAACCTACTGTAGTCTTTCATGTCTAGGGAAACTTTCCAGGGCATGAAATCAAATTTAATAACTTTTAATCTGTCCTCTCCCTAGATTTTCTTCACTCTATCGTCTTCCTCTTGGCTTACACCACTGGCCTGGTTTTTCTAACTTCTCTGCGGTTAGTCATTTTTCTTCTCTACTTAAAATTCCTCCCCTTTCTCAAACCACCTCATAACCATCCTCCTCCCAAAATTGTAGGCCACAACCTTTCTCTCTCACAGCTATCACCTAATGTTATCTCTATCCAGCTTGACCCCTAGATCCAGAATACATACTCCTGACCTCAGTCCTGACATCTACCTATACGTTCTCAATGGTCTCTGCCATTTCTATCATTGAATCATCCTGCCATTAATTCATCATGCCCAAACCAGCTCCCGTTCAAAAATTGCCTGTGTTTGAATTCTTCTCTTACATAAACTCGACATCTAGCCTTTCCTCCCATTGTCGATGCTCAAATCATAGTTCCCAAATCTTGTCAACATATTTTAATCTCACCCTCTCAATTCCTATTGCTCTAACTCCTACTAGACCCTCCTTCAGATCTGTAACACTCTCTGAGCTGTTCTGTCCAATTTCTGTTCCCTCTAATTTACCCAAAACAATTTCACCAGATTAATCTCACACACTACTGCTTTATACATGCACCTTAATAGATCCCCCGTTTCTACATAATTAAATACACTCCACTTTCCTCCTGACCAGCTCCAATCACACTATGCCTATCTCATTTTCCACCTTTCATCTCTATAATTCATATTTCCAGCCAAATGTGAGTTAAATGAATCAATTCTAGAGGGTGGGGGGTAATGTAATAAAAAATTGTTCACTTTCTCCAGAACACTTTGCAAATCCCTGCTTTCTGCCTTTGTTCTTGGTGCTGTGCCCTGATTGACTTCCCTGTTCTGACTTAGTAACTCTTTTCCTTCTAAGGCCCAGGGTGAGGTCTGCTTCTTCAATGAAGCCCATTCCACCTGCCCAGGCTCCCAGCAAGCTTGTCCTCTGAACCTCTCCAGGGGCTTCTGGACTTACCTCTCATCTAGCCTTTAACATAGACGAGGTGTGAGTTGTTATTGCAAATTTGTCTCCTCAATCTGATAGGAATTACTGGTGGCAGGGATTTTGTCTTCTCTCTCTCTCTCTCTAGGGTGTCTATAAAGTCTGGAGCTTTCAATGATATTTTTACAAATAGCTGATGTTCTTGGTGACATAATGTGCTGCCTGTATTCTAAATTTAATGGGTATCATGTATATTTCTCCTGCTGCTACAGTACCTCGCACACAGCAGGCATTCCAGTGGGTTAGCAATAATTCCTCATTGCCAAGTGTTTTTTTGTTTTTTTTTTGTTTTTGTTTTTGTTTTTGTGTTTTTTGTAATGGTTTAAGAATGAATGAAACAAAATATGCAATGATAGGACTTGGAGAAAGAGATCAAAATGTGCTCAAAAAGAAACACTGGAACTACTTTCCTTGGCAAATTCCGGTTTTGTTTCTTATAAAACTCTGCCCAGGTGTGTAACTATGCTGTAACCAACCGCCTTTCCAGGCTCTGCTCTGGGCCTTCACTTCTCCAGGAAGCTTTCCTTGATCCCCTCCAGCAGTCCGATCACCACAGCACTTACTGCACGTACTGTAGTTTCTGCTTGTCTTGATTTCACCACTGACAGTGAACATCCGGGTGAGAACAGTGTTGTTTGTGTACCATAATATACTCACTCAGTGAGTTTTAAATGACTGTTTTGAATGAATGATAATAGATAACAATAGTAGGCGAGAGCCGAGTATCTGCTAAGCATTGCAGTAAGCACCTCACCTGCACTGTTTTATTTAAATCTTACAACCCCATGAGGAAGGTAGGCTGTTTTTCCCATTTCAGATGAGGAAACAGACTTAATGGGCCCTAGGTGAAAAGGCAAGTGGTAGTTTTGCTACAGGCTTATGTGCTTAGAATCTTGCTACACTGAATGAACAATGAACGGTAACCATTTTACCATCATCACTATGGGAAGGAGCTTTCCATTTCTGTCTCTGGGTACCACTTTGAACAAGGAGGTGGGGCCTGATAGTAGAGCTTTTAAAAAGGATCTCTGGGCCCCACCCAGGCCAATAAAATGATTCTCTAAGGTGGTGGCATCAATATTTTTAAAAAGCACCCAGGTTACTTTAATGTGAAGCTGGGTGTATGAACTGGCATAGATTGATGCCAAAGGCCTTTCAAGTGAAAACTTTCATGAAACTTGAGCCATAATGGAACTGCCTTCTTTTGTGACTAAAGACCCAAAATGATGTCTGGGAATGTATTATGAACCATGTAGAGACAGAGGAACATCTGATCACGAAGATTGGTTACAGTGAGGGCCCCACAGAAGACTATCATTAAAGAGTTGGTTGAGTCTGGTTGGCATGGCTCAGTGGTTGAGTGTCAACCTATGAACCAGGAAGTCACGGTTTGGTTCCCGGGTCATGGCATATGCTCGGGCTGCAGGCTCGATTCCCAGTGTGGGGCATGCAGGAGGCAGCCAATTAATGATTCTCTCTCATTATTTATGTTTCTATCTCTCCTTCCCTCTCCCTTCCTCTCTGAAATCAATAAAAATATATTTTTAAAAATATCCTCATTCCTGGGGTGAGGATGAAAAAAATAAAATAGTTGGTTGAACATGGGTAGCTTGATCCTATTTACCATCTAAACGAAGTACTGAAACCATAATTATCGGGCAGATGAACTGTGGCTTCACAAAGAAGTTACCTGTATTTCAGTATGAATGAAATGACTTGACACTTAATTTACACTTCATCTCCCTCAAAATTTCCCACGAGGTGCCAGGGGGCAGGGCGGTTACCTGTCCTCAGGATTGGGAAGTAAAACAAACAAACAAAGATGCAGCTATGTAGTTGCAAATATCAAAAGAGAAAATACTGGTGAGAACTTTCTGGATCATCGAATATCTAAATGGGGATATGTATAATAATGTCAACAATAAAAATAAAGTTTAAAAAATAAAAATAAAATAAAATATATTGTACCTGGATTTTCACATAGAAATAAAGATGACTCGGCAGTGCCCTTGGCAGTCCCAGATCTGTCTCTTGCTTCAACAGTGTTTGGACAGAACAGACCCAGGGACGCCCCTTCTTCCAGCCTTCGGCCACTCTCCTGCGTCTTACCCAGTCACCGCCTTCAGAACCACCTCGGAGACCAGCTAACACAGTTTTATTTTGTTTTGTTTTGTTTTTTTCTACCTTAACTCTTTATTGCCGAACAACCATGAGCTCCCAAATTCGTCAGAATTATTCCACTGAAATGGAGGCTGCCGCCAACGACTGCTCACCTGGCCCCGCCCCCTCGTTGACTTTACCACCTGTGCATCTTCGGGCCCCACACCTGCCTCTCTCTGGGCTTCTATTCCCACCAACGATGTGGCTCTCGAGGCCGTGGGCCACTTCTTCCACAAGTTGGCGGAGAAGAAGCCAAGGGCTCTGAGCATCTCTTACAGTTGCAAAACCAGCACGATGGCCACATTCTCTTCCAGGATGTGCTGAAGCCTCTCCAAGGTGAATGGGCAAAACTCAGGATGCCATAGGAGCTGCCCTGGCCTTGGAGAGGAGCCTGAACCAGGCCCTGGGTTCTGCCCACAGACTCTCACCTCTGTGTGACTTCCTTGAGAACCACTTCATGGATGAGGAGGTGAAACTCATCAAGAAAATGGGCTACCCCTGACTGACATCCCAGGCTGGCTCACCCTCAAGCATGACTTAGGAGCCTGGACCCAGAGGCCTTTGAGAGGCTCCTCTGCGTTCTCCTGGTGTCTGGCTTTTACCTGATCCTCTTCCTGAAACCACTCGTCATTCTTTTAACCATCCTGGAGCCCTCTCCCATGCATTGAACCAAATGAAACAACAAAGCTTTTTGCAGGAGGAAAAAAGAAAAAGAAATGAAGATGACTCCTGTTTTATCAAAGACTTTTACATATGGGCCAAGTGAACAGCTCTGTATTATTTTTGTCTTGCAGACTAAACAGTTTCCTCTGTATTCAAAAAATTTGTTTATCTCATTGATCCATAGAAGAACTTCAGACTTCATCCTTTTAATACAGTCAAGCTTATGAAATATAATATTCACCTTAAAATAAAGTATTTCCCTCAATACGAGAAATTAAGGAGATAGAAAAGGCAGTGTTCTCCACTGAGATGCTGTTTGTAGGCCCCTTGAGATACACAATAGTCATTCAAGATAACTCAGGGCTTTGAGAAAAATACAGTGACTTTCTTTTATTTTCTTTTTTCTTTTCAGTCTTTCTTAACCAGTCTGTGGCCATGAGGAAAAACTTGAATATAGGCTTTCTTCGATTACTTGAATAAAAGACAGATTCTATTTAATGTTATAGCTGAAGAAACAACTAAAAATGTAATCCAGTAGTTTGGCTAAACAAAATGAGAATTATTTTGAGTTTATCAAAACATTATGTTGATAGTCCTTTTTTTCTTTTTACTTTTTAAAGTAAATATGAGACAATGGATAGCTTTAGAACAAGCTAACTTTACTATGATTCAGGCATGTGCAACTGGTACAGTTCAGTAGTAACAAAAATGACTCAAACCAATGTACTATAGGCCAGAAACTTAAGTTACAAAATGTATCAATATTACAATTAACACAGATAAGTATAAACCATTGCTCAGATTCTGCATATTTTAAAAAAACAACATAAACTTTATGCAACAATTGAAATTATGCATTTCTACTCAGATTATCAGAGCTTATTACAAACACACATAAACCTAAAAAGTTGTGGTCACATTTTGGTTTTGTTCCAGTGATGCACAATCACATGAAATGTTACATCCATTTTGTGTGAAATAAACATTTGGCTGAAGTCTCGTCAGTAGCTGCTGAGTTCAAAATATTTACATGAAAATGTTTAGAGTAAAATAACCCTAAACATCCTAGTGGGAGTCCTTACAAAAAGTCCTTATGAATTATAGAAATAGAAGCATTTAGGAAATTTCAGTGTATTTTGCTTATTATTATTTTTAACACGAGTAAACAAATACTGGCTTTAAAGTGCAGCTTCTTTCTCCTCTCCCTGGGATTCTCCCTCCTTCCACGACCAGTTCTGTGTTAATTGCTAGGATCTCCAGGGAGGTTGGAAACAAAGGAGTGACAGTCAAATCTGTTTGTCTCTCTGCTGGTCCCGAAAGTCAGTGATGGCCTTCCACAGTGTGCAGAGCATCCCTCCCCTGTTTAAAGATACAAGAACACGGGGAAGGGAACACTTCATTCCAACATTGCCCTTGTAAAAGAAAAGTGACTACTCAGCTTTCAAACTGCTCTAATCAGAACATGAAGATCCCAAAGTCTTATTAGCCATTATGTGTTCTTTTTGTACCTATTTTCTCACCATCCCTCCATGCCTTCCCTTTCCATTCCCACCATCTACCAGGTCCCAAAGCAAAAAGGTTTTCAGCATTTTTGAAATGTCTTTGGTAGACAAAGATGGGCTGGTATGAGAAAATTATGCATATGATTGGCCAGATTAAAAAAAAATTATTAGAGGAAACTGTATCAGATTATACCAGGTATTTAGATGGCAAATCAACACCCCATCCTAATATTTCCAAGTATGGTACGATCATGAACAAAATTGGGGGATTTGTTTAAGGCAGCTTTAGAATAACTGCATGGTCTTTGTCTGAATTATTATCAAAAATATTCTTCAAGTTGATTTGCATTTACTAATAGGAAATATTGGATACTAAGGTTCTCAATAATAGTCTGGTCCAACCAACTCAGTTTACTCAGAGCAACTGAGAACCAGAGAGGTGGGCCCAGGATTGCAGGGACCCAGACTTCCTGATCTCAAGCCCAGGACTCTTGCCATCATGACAATTGAATAGGAAGAAAAGTGATACCTTATTTTCAGGCATTTTAAGTCATCACGTGTAACATAGTAGAGAACATCCACCAGTGAATAATCCTCAGCCAAAAACTGTGGATAAAGTAATATATGCATAAAAATTAGATGCTTTATACACCTTTAATAGCAAACTCTATCCATAAT